GATATTAATAACTCCTTGAATTCATTTTAGAAAAAGGTGCACTGCAAAGTGTATAATTCAACATCTCAATTCCACACACAAATCCTCAAAGACGATACACGTTACCATTTGATTTTGCAGTGTGCAGTGCGTTCAGCCGGAGAGATGCTGAGTGTTGCCCCCACAATCAGAGATGAAGATAAAAAGAGGAATCTCAGGTCCATACTAAAGGCGGGTATGCTGAAGGTCGGTTTGTAGTGTGCAAACGTCTCCTAAGTGTCTGCTCAAACTGTCCCTGGGGTTTAAAAGAGCACCCGGCTCATGTGGAAGACTGGAGGAGGTCAGTGTAAGGTTGATTAACATGGCCTGTGCAGTGGGAGATGGGACAGTTATATATGCAATTAGACGCAGCTGGTTATTTCTGTGTCTTTCATTCTGGATATTCAATACACTGAATATTTTTTAAACTGATTTCCTGCTTTCTGCAGTCGAGCATTTCCATGGAAGATGTGTTCAAAGGCGTGAAACTGGATTAAAACACAGCATGTAACCGTGTAAGAAACCATTCTCAGCTACACACATTCCTTTAGTCTCCTTTCTACCTCCCAGGATCAAACTTTGGGTGTTTTGTGAGTGTTTCTTTTTTCTTTTAAGCAAGCAACGAAGACGAAAACGACTGTTCTTCAAGAAACCTGGAGAAATTACAGGAAAGCTGCCCAAGAGAGTTCAGAGTGTGTTGAAGAATAAAGGCACACACCATTTTTACTGCACCCATTCCTAGCACAACTTTTTCCCCAGTGTTGTGTTAATCAATTATATTCCTTGTTAAATGTTAAATGATCAGTCAGGTTCTAACTGTAAATCATAGGATCACTTGGACACAACTGAAGTTGAGAACAGCTGCACAGGACTCTCCCAGGTCTAAAACCGGTTATGTTGGGGTTTTTTTTAGTGCAACGACAGAGCTGACTGCGGTCAAACAGCATTTGTTATGGAGCACTGCGTGCTCAAAAAAGAAACATTTTAATCTCTTTGGCATAACTAGAAATCTATGAGACATGGTTTAGTTTTGGTTGATGAAAAATAATGAGGCGAACGAAATCATTTGCTGTGGGTAAAAAATGGTGAAAAGGTGGGTCAAAGTGGGACAAGGCATGAGTGTGTGTTGCCACCTAGTGGCTGAAAGTGGAAGTTTCCATTTGAAAACCTTCAGATTCACTCCGTGATTCCACTGAAATGTCCTTCCAAGACAAAACTGTGACAGTTTCCCTTTTGTCAGACTCCACCCTCAGTCTCAGCTCAGATGGTTCTGATAAACAACAAGTTTTGGTGTTACTGTTCAACTTTAGTGCTACAATGAATTCATTATGAAGTGAGTAAAAGTGGCTGTCCAAAGTACAAAACAAAACCTTTATTATTGATGACCATGTTCATTCCTTAATGACTCATCTCCTGATGGCTGTTTCCAGCAGGATAATGTGCAATGTGACAAAGATCAAATCATCTCAAACTGTTTATTTTTAATATGACAATGAGTTCACTGTATCCAGATAGCCTCCACACTCATCAGACCTTAATCCAATAGAGCGCCCTTTGGGATTTGTTAGAACAGGATTTTCACATCATGGATGTGAAAAATCAGTTCAGTATGGAGCAAAATGTTTGAGGATTGTTTCCAGCATCTTGATGAATAAATGTCATAAAGAATTAAGAAAGGTCTGGAGGTAGTTGTACCTAATTAAGTGGCCATATATCCAAACACAAGACAATGTCAAAAACATTTTGCACAAAAATAATCTAGGTTGTCTGGACATGAAATGTATCAAAAACATTAATTTACTTTTATAAATAAAAATGATAAATTAGCATCTAAAAATTGTATAGAAGAAGAAGAAGAAGAAGAAGAAGAAGAAGAAGAAGAAGAAGAAGAAGAAGAAGAAGAAGAAAGGAAGTATGCCCATTTTCAAAACAAGTGCTCTCTCCACCTTCTTTGAACTGTGTTGCTGGCATGAACTTTAGATTTTCCAAAAGACAAACAACATCACAACTCATCTTACAACTTGTTTTAATTTATTATTACATTTAAATGATTTGCATATAATTACATTATGTTGTTCCAGTTTTATACAACAATTGTTTCCATATCTTTTGTAGAAACAGAGGTCTCTACTACAAAGCAACTTCAGCATAACAACAGTGTCGTTGGATTTACTTACCCTACACTGAGCATCAGGATAAAGTGTCACATAAAGCTAGTTATCACAGTTAATAATAATAATAATAAAAATAATAATAATGGATTGGATTTATATAGCGCTTTTCAAGGCACCCAAAGCGCTTTACAATGCCACTATTCATTCACTCTCGCATTCACACACTGGTGGAGGCAAGCTACGGTTGTAGCCACAGCTGCCCTGGGGCAGACCGACACAAATTTAACCATTTTAACAGATGACTGCAGCAGCACATCATTCAGCGTGATGGTAGATAACAGCTGAAGCTGATTTCATTTGGGTGAAAATTGGGTCAAGATCAAAGTCAAAGGTCACACCAAATGTAAAAACACAGTAGATACGTTATATTACCCTCAGTTTTTATGGATTGACTTCAAACTTCACAGAAATATACTTTGCCTTAGAGGACATGCGTACCTGTTACCACCCGACATTAAAGTTGCCTTAAAAAAGAAACCATATTGAGTATAATATAGTATACGAACTGGCATGGAGAGAACCGTTTATTCTCTCCACTTCAGTTTTTATTCTCAAAGGTAAGACATCAGCATGTTGTTATAAAAGCAGGTTGGTGTCAGCATGTCGTAATTAAAAACATCCAAATTTTAGCACATCCCCTGCTTCTGGGGCTGCACATTAAACTGGATCTATGTAAACATTAAAGCTTACTGTCCCACAGCCCATTAAAAGAGAGCTGGAAAAAGCTTCATGTATACTTCATGTACATTTCCATCGGTGTAAAGGAGACTTTACAGCAGGATTAGAATGAGGTATTCATATTTTCTGCATCATTAAATGAATACATGCATATTTCTGTGACATTGTGACGCACAGCTTGTGCTTCATTCAGTGGTTTTAGAAAATCACAGCTTACCAGCTTGCAAATATGAACCATTTACTCCCGGCAGAGAATCTGTGTTGTGCTCAAAGCATGTTGTAAAAAGAAGAATCAGCGCTTCCAGAAAATTTTAAACCAAAACTCTGAACATCCTCTCCCAACAGCTTTACTTCTTAATCTCTCAGCTGCTTTTGTTTGTGCTTTTAAGGGTTTGAGTGTAGAGATGAAATTGTAATTAAGTTATACTGCAATATACTGTAATCCAGTAAGATGTAAACCATCACTGTAGTACAGAAAACTCAGGGTTATCTGGTTACGACGAAATCCTGTTTCCTCTGTTTTGGATACTTAGTAACTCAGTTTGATCACAAAGCTACAGAGTTCAATTTCAAGCACTTTGATTCATCTTTAAAACAGCTGAATCGCCCATCTTCAGGTTTTTGGACATTTGTCACACACAAGAGCTTATAGCTACTTTCATTCTTTACAAGCAATTCATTGCACAGAGGGAGTGGCCAGTTTCTGACATACAAAAGAATTGGATTGTTTGGTCATTTTTGTTTCGATATTCAATGTTTATCTTCCATGTTGAAGACGTTGCCTTATTCAAGTATTAGAAACACATCAGTTCAATTCCTCTGTTAAAGACTAATATAAAACCATCACCTGAAAATGACTATAAATATCTGCCGAAGTGAACTTTACATATCCCACTCAGATAACCGAGTCGAGCTATGATCAACACAAATCAAACGAGTAAAGACAAGCTTGTGAGGTGTCAGACTTTGGTGATGTTTCTAATTTTCAGACTTATACTGGAATCTGGTAGCTCTTGTTTGATGCGCTGGCCAAGCTGAAAGACATCATTTTTAAACCCATTATTTTGAGTCACTCATTGACACACATACAGAACTGGCTGTTACAGTTTCTATCGACATTAAGCTTATTTTGTAAAAAGACAGGTACCTCGTTCAAGATCAGCTGAGCTGTCGTCTCATTTAGATCAAATGGGCCAGCGTACTGGACATAAGCCTGAAGGATTGCCACGTCTGAAAGATCAACAGAGAAAAATTAATCAAAATCAGACCTTTGATTTCAGGCCTCAGTGCAAATTATACACTACAATTTAAAAGGTACTTACATTCTGGCGTATAAACTGTAGACATTGCTCCACCAAAAGCAATGGGAAATGCTGCTGAAACGAGCACAGTTAAGGTCACATTTCATATCTAGACAATTTTAACTTATAACCATTGTTATTTAAAAGATCGATTTTAAATTTCCTTATGATCACTAAAGAGTAACTCACTGGTCTGTGCAGGCGTTCCTATTACAGTTACTGAAACATGAGCAAAGTTAAGGTCACATTTCATATCTAGACAGTTTTAGCTTATTAACATTGTTATTTAAAAGATCACCATTACATTTCCTTATGATCATTAAAGAATGTACTCACTGTTCTGTGCTACAGATGTGGCCAAACATCCAGCAAACAGGATCAGCAGCAACATGTTGAAGCTTTATTCCAAAGAAAAGAGCGAAATCTGTTAAGGTGCAGTATTGTTCCTGTAGTCTGTCTGTCTGCTTTTAGTCTGTACGAGAGACTAATAGTGTTACAGAGAGGGAGTGGCCTGGTTGCAAAACTTCCTTGAAGAATTGGATGAGCAGGAACAATGGGGTCAGAACAAACCATGTCATGAAACATGAGGAAGTAGCACAGTTTTCAGACAGTGAGGCACTCTTTAAAACATTCTCAGAAAAGAAAAATCAGCTACCAAAAAGTCAAACAGATTGTAATACACAAAGAAAGCACAGAAAACATTTCAGCTGCTGCTAAAGCTGGGTAAGAGAAATAGCTGAATACCTTTCACACTGTGTATATGTAGTGAAGTAGGTAGTTTAGGAAAGCTTTCAAGGTACCGCAGTCATACAAATACTCAGAGAGTGGCTTGTCAATAACATTTTATTGAGAACTCTTTGCGTATGTATGTACTTGTAAGACAAAACAAGCAAAGAAAAGGAGAATCCAAAGAAAAAAATCAGATTACACTAGATTCACAGAGTCTGAAAATCTAACAGATCCAAGATTTACTCTGAAATGAGTGCGACACACCAAAAAAGACACAAAAAACAAATGATCCTGAAACTGAGTAGTTCTCAATGGTAAAGCAGCAATCAGAGGAGAAAGACACTAAAGCTTCTTTGACTTTCTGCTGCTGCTTGAGCTGCTCGCAGAGCTGGAACATCTGGAGGTGGTGAGAGGAGGGGAGGTCGCAGTCAGATCCAGGCTCAGTTCCACCGTCTTCAGTGTCGGGGAGTGAGGCGCAGCGGTCCGGGGGCTGGCGCTGGCTGAGGATGCCAGAGACCTGCAGAGGAAAAAAAAACATAAAAATGCAAAAGAAGAAGCTTCTTTGGAGGATCAGAGGTTTTATTAGGAACGGATGAAGCCTGACCTGAGAGAGGTGGAGCAGCGGGGGGAACTTGTCTTGGAGCTCCGCTGGCTGGCAGGAGTGGGAGAAGGAGAGGGAAGAGACAGACTGGCCTGAGAGAGAGAAAACATTCAAGTTAAAGGAGCTTCAACAGTAAATCAAAGCGTTCAATAATCCTTGAAGAACTGTACCTGCAGGAAATACTTCTCCATCACTGATCTGAGGTCAGGATTGCCCTCCCAGACCTCATTCAGCATCCTGTCCACATTCTTGATGAATTCCTTCAACTCCCTCAGCTTAATGTCTTTCTCTTCGAAAGTCTCGCCTTTGGTGCCCTTTGCTGAGCGGACTTCTTTGGTCAGCTTAGAGAACTGGAAAATCAGCAGAGTAGCACACATTTATAACATGGCGCTGCTTCGTTCTGCTGTTGACTGGTCACAGGTGCGGCAGGTTAACAAATGTGCTTAGAAAACATGATGCAGTTGGACATCAAACCTGCTTTGAGGCTCTGTCAATTTTCTCCTGCTGGGAAGTAACTTCTTCGTTCATTTTGCTGACGAGGGCATGTTTGTTCTCTATCTTATCTCTCTCCATTTGCTCTTCTTGTGGCAGACTTTCCAACACACTGTTCAGGTCCTGAAACCAGAGCGCGGTGTACACACACACACATAAAAAGAAAGCATTCACTGAGGCACACATACACAGGGATTCATGCAAGGTTAGTTACACTAGATGACTCCGATAGTTTTTACAAAAATTAACTGTTAATAATACTCTGCTATATGATACTCAAGCTACTCTTTCATGCTGGAAATGAGAAGAAATACCAACACAGATTTTTTAACTCAAGAGGATTAAAAATGGCAAATAACATTTTACTGTATAACTGCTGTTGACCTGAGACTGGTTCTTATAATGTGGAAACTAAGCAGCTCTCACACAGAGCTTATTATTAATTGTTAATTAGATTGTCATTAAATGTCATTAAACTCCAACCCCCTCGATCAAATTCTTGTTTATTTAATAGATAAACTGATGGACAATATGCAGCTGAGAAAGATACTTTCAGCTCTTTCTGAGCTACACAGAAACACACCTTCCCCCACATGTGTGCGCATAACCAGGGACGCCAAACTCCTTTTACATCATGAGCCAAGTGCAGTGGCCTGTTAAAATTCCCTTTCTGACAGCGTGAAGAAGATTAACTACACATTTAGTCCCCAAGATATTTTGATAAAAGACAAGGAAGTGCAATTTAATTTAATTTAATTTAATTTAATTTAATTTAATTTAATTTAATTTAATTTAATTTAATTTAATTTAATTTTGTTTTATTTTATTTTATTTATTTATGTTTTGTTTTTTGTTTTTTTGCCTGTCCCATTTGGATCTTTAGCCATCAGAATTGTTGTCTGAAGGCCAAGAAAGATGCCAAGCGGATTTACTTTACCAATTGGATCATCATGGCCTTGCCATATTGGTCCATTTGATTGACCTTTATTATAATTATGTATTTATTTGATTTGATTTTCAGTTGTTACAGACGGGACAGACATGACTGGGGGATAGGACAGGGAGAGAGAATGAAAGAAAGAGAGACAAAGAAAAATAGAGGGGAGAAGAGATGGTGAGAAAGGGGGGGGGGGTGCAATTTTAAAAGTACTCCTCAGTTTTTCCACATGATGATGAAAAAGAACTGCTGTAGTAAATGAAAGAAATGTGTCTACTGGGCCAGACTGGAGTCTATGTTAGGCCAATTCTGGCCCTGTGCCTTGTTTTTGACACCCCAGCAATAAAAAAACAAAGTCATCTGCAGGTTAGCACTAAACTTCATGAATTGTTTCACCCCCTAAAACTCCTCTCTTCAGATGTTGCATGTGATACTTGTGATACGAAAGCAGCTCCCTGATTGCATAGTTTCATCTGTTATCTGACAGATAAATACGGAACCAGCATCCCAAGTAGTCAAAGTCATCTTTCATTTTATCAGCAAAGAATAGCACCAGCTAGTGGTTTCTACAAACACAGGAAGAACTGAGTATACAAGACTATTTTAGACCCAACTCAAAAAACATTAACACACTAAACTGCTTTGTGTGTTTAGCCTGTAGTTCAGCCTTGTGCTGAACATTATGATGACAGACTTCACCTAATTCCAAATTAGCTTGAGGTATTCAGCATTTAAGTGCAGGTTGCTTTTTCTTAGTACTAGCAGCTACTATAAATAGCAAAAACCTGCATATCCTGTTGAAGCTCTTGGATCTGCCTTTTCTTATAGTTCAGCGTCTCTTGACCCACATTCAGCTGCCCTTCCAGTTTCACTTTATCCTGGTACATTGGACCTAAAGAGGAAAAAATGACATAAAACTTCCTGATGATAAGGGGGACTTTTGAGTTGCTGGTTTGGTGTCATTCCATCCACCCTCTCATACATACTGGATTCATTCACTTTGTTCAAAGACTGGCGAAATGCAGAGTTACTGTTGTTGAACAGCTGGATGGTGTTTTCCAGAGCTCTGTTTTCCAGCTCCACTTTGTGGATTGTAGCATCCAGCTCATCGCCTTTCCTCCTAAGCTCCTCTTTCTCTTGTGCAGCCTGCAGAAAAAGCACAGAGTGGTCATTCAAAGTGATTGTGTGGTGCTATGGGAAAAAAAATCAAACCATAGTCTGCTTTAACACAGCAGTGTGTGTGCAGACCTTTGTGATGTAGTAAGCCTGCGATTTCGCCTCTTCTTCCTCAGGAGGTGCCATGGAAAGGCTCACAATCTCGAAACATTTCTTCATCGTGTCAATCTTGGATAGTTTCTCACTGAGTTCAGCACTGAGACAGAAAAAAAATCTGATAAACCAGATGCAAAACTAAACTGACAGCAAAGTGGATAGTCTTGTTCTTTTTGTCCCACCTGAGTTTCTGCCTCTCCTGCTCACTGATCTTGAGCTGCTGGCTGAGCATTTCTTTGTAGACCTTAATCTCATCCTCCCTCTCCTTCATGGTTGTTTGTAGCTGCAGCAGTCTCTTCTCCAGCGACAGCACGTTGTCAGCCTTGCTGTACAGAAGATCCCTCACACGTTTGACCTGTATCTTTAACATTTGGTGCTCCACTTTGTTTTCCTGATGAGAAACACATGAGGTTAACAATAACATGTGTGGTCCATGGGGTATCCATCCATTTCCATGTGATCAACAGAAATTTGAATGTTTTCAGTCCTAACCCACATTGGTTAGTGAAGAAAAAACAGGCTAATTATTTACTATTTATTAAAACACCCATTGTTTGACTCATTATTACACTTTTTTATTCCACAAAAAGATGAGACATCATGCTAATGCTAAACTAGCCAAGAACCCAGAGTGTTGTTAAAGCTGAGCAAATGTAATTAGGTTATGTACTGCATGTGTTCTGTGTAGTACAGACAGTACATTACTTATTTTAAGTGACAACACCAACAATGATCATAGCAAAGAGTAAAAAATACCTTCAACACGCTTAAACATTTGACCACACAGCATGCAGTCGATTTGCATGAATGTAATGTCTTTGAAATAATGGTGTTGACTCTCACAGTGGAGCTAATGAAAACCTAATGAGAATCAATAAGAAACTGCTAAATTCTTATCAATTCCCATCCCTACTCCTAGGGGGTCATCTGATTGTTGGGTTGTCTCTGGGTTATTGTAGGTTCTTTAAAATAAAAGCTGAATTTAAATTATAATGGTGAACATAGCACACCACAACCACGTGCCTATGAGCATGATGCACTGAATTAGCCTCCATCAGTTAGTTACCTGCTTCTGCAGTCTGAGAGTCTTCAGCTCCTTCTCACTGGTGTTACGGATTAGCAGGAGCTCCTCCACCTTACTGCTCAGATCTCTCTTCTGAGCTTCAGACTTCTCAATCTCTTTCCTCAAACTGCGAATATCATCCTGCCAGAGACAAACAAATGCAATACGTCAGATGGGATTCATAAAAAGGCAGAATAGTACAGCGAAGCATCAGATCGACCTCAGCCTCCTTGAGAGTGTCGGTAAGCACTTTGGCTTTCTTCTTTTTCTCTTCGAGTTCTTCGGTCAGCTCAGCGAGCTTCCTGTCGAGCATTTTCTTTTCTTCTTGGTTAACGTCACCTTTCAGCTTTGCCAGTTTTGTTTTTAGGAAGATCATCTTGCAATTCTACACAAAGCAGGAAACAAGTAAGGAAGGAAGGTTTAACGTGTTGGTATTTCAGCACCAGAGTAGTGAAAGCTGGCTAGCGCACACGTTCGTGTCTGTGCGTGAGTGTATGATTTTTGCTAAGCGTGCCTGGTCACTTATGGTCATCTGGTGTCTAATCAGGTCCTGTTCCAGTTTTCTGAGCTGACTCTCCAGGCTGTTAATGGTGGATTTACTCTTTGAAACCTGCGAGATAAAATCCTTCTCCTTTGTCTTAACGGCCTGCAAACGCTCCTTTTGATGCAACAGCTCCTCCCTGCAGTCACGCAGCTGGACATCCAAGTCCTGTAGCACAGCACAAGCAAAGGGTTACACAGCAGGTCTGAGGCACCGAGCTCTGAGTCTGCTCATCTGGGTTCTAGCAGGTGAATTATTAAAAAACCCAAATTTTAAAAAGTGAAATTGAAATCATGCTACTTCTGACTAAACCATGTGATCATCTCGATTCTATTACATCACTGCAATTACAACAGACCTTTAATGAGCCTTGAGGTTTCTGCAGCCTTCCCTTGTATGGTGTTAATACATCAGTACAATCAGTATATTTAGTTCATGCTATTTAAATAACACTGTTTTATAGTTTTGTAAAAGGTTTTTCTTTTTCTTGTATGTCTTATTCATGCCATGAAAACAAAACCAACATAATAACGAGTGTAGGCAGAAATCCTTAGACAAAGTTCTTATTCTGTGCACAACAGTTCTCTTCTACCTGGATCGGATTTGGCAGCTCACCTTGATGGCCTGTTCCTCATCCTTAAGAAACTGATCCATCTGTGCAGCTCTCTCCTCCTCACTAAGGGCTGTCTGAGTCACCACCTTCAGCTTCTCGTCCAGTGCAGCGTTGTATGCCCTAGCCTGCCTGAGTCTACAACACAGACACACACACAGGCATGTATATGCATATATATTTAACAAGCCCTGCAAAAAGGCGCAGATTTATTAGATCACCTCTAAAAACAAAAAACACAAATATTTTAGACATTGTCAAAAAGTTGTTGAAAACTAAAAATGATATTGTTATTTTTTAGGCAAATAATAAACAGTATTCATGTTTTTATACCCAAATATGAGCGGGCACACTGGACTTCTCTAAGAGGTCAGAAAATAATTAACAATCAACCACTCAAACTATTTTTTCTGTTCAGCAAATAATTGTAATTTGCCATCTTCATCAAATAATAATAATAATAATAATAATAATAATAATAATAATGTGCTTTACTGTTTTCTTTTGTTTTTTTTATTACATTTTGATCATTTAAAAAAAGAGCTTACGCATACTGGTGGATTAACTGTTACAGAAACAATAAAAAAATGATTTTCCCCAATTAACCACTACAGTTAATTGGGGGCACTGGGTGCCAATCTACCTGGCATGTGTAAAAAATTCGTTCTTCCCCTTTTTAAATTATGAATTAACTGTGATTAACCTCATTATTTGGAAAGCTGAGTCCAATTTCACTCACCACAATCGTGCCTGATTACTGGCAGAGCTGTTAAATCAACAAATTGCTTAAACAGAAGCCATTTCTTAGGCTTTGGGCCTCCAGTGAACCACAGTCAGAGCCAACAGCCACAAATGGAGAACAGTGGTGAACTCATCCAGGAGGTCACAAAAGAACCAGAACAACATCTAAAGAACTGCAGGCCTCACATGTCTCAGTTAAGGTCAGAGGTCACGATGCAACAATAAGAAAGAGACTGGGCAAAAATGGCACGTATGGGAGAGTTCAAGGATAAAACCACTGCTGACCAGAAAAACCCACAAAGGCTCTTCTCACATTTGCCAAAAACATCTTGATGATCACCGAGACTTTTGGGAAAATATTCTGTGGACTGACAAGACTTTTGGAAGCTTTCTGTCCTGTTAAACTAACACAGCATTTTCTAAAAGAACATCATACCAACAGTCAAACATGGTGGTCGTAGTTTTAACTTTTTACTTTTATAAATCTGCATTTTGTATTTGCTCCAGTTATGTTTGTCTAATATTAAAACTTTTTTTGATGATTGGGAAATGTGTGTGTATGAAAAAAAGAGGCCATATAGTACAGTATACATGCAGTACATGAGAAAGAGGTAAAACATCACAGTGCTATTTTATAGGCAGGGATGTGTCGTAAGATTACACTGACTTGTCATTTTTATCCTGGATGTCTTTCTTCATTCTGGATATCTGGGATGTCAGGGACTCCACGTCAGAGGTTGTTCTGTCCAGTGTGTTTTTGCAGGTATTCAGCTGCAGGACACAAACATGAGCATTGACTGACAAGCTCTTAGAGCATGAAGCTACTACTCCTTTACATACAGCACAGTTTGAGGAACTGACCTCATCCTGCAGCCTGCTGCAGTTACTCTCCTGCTCCTTCAGATCCTGTCTCAGTTTTGCTCCCTGTCGGTTGGTGAGGGTTATCTTCCTCTCAGTTTCCTTGTTGTTGCTCCTCTGAGTATCTAGCAAGTTCTTCCTCTCTGTTACCGTGGCATTCCTTTCCCTCATAGCCTGGTTCAACTGGGCAACTTGCTGGAATGATAAAGGAACAACGCAGGTGTTACTCACATGTACTTCAATGTTAATTCACATATTCTTGGCTTTCCTTCATGTCTTTTATCAGCAGAAGTGTAAATCCCCATGTAAATGACCACGGCAGACCCAGTGGCATTTCGATCATCTTTATTTTACCGGTTGCTGTACACACAGACACAGAGCTGCAGCTCTCCCGCTGCCAGCGCAACATGACAACAACAACCACATTCACCAAAACTCCAAACTTTTAAGCCGGCGTGGCGTGATTGCATATGCCGCGCAGATGGGTCAATCGCACCTGCAGCAGCAAACCACGCCCCGCCACACCGTACACTTTACCAGAGCACACTGCTGCATGTCTTCATCCCGTTGCATCATCTGCTTGATAGTGTTTTCCCACTGGTGGATGAGTTGCTGGGCCTCCAGGTGTGCCTGCTGCAGATTCTCTGTAGTCTTATCCAACGCGATCTGTTTGGACAGGAAAGGAAGCAGCAGTCATCCTGAAGGAGGTTTTTGTAACTGCTTTGGTTTGTCTGCTGAGAATCAGTCTCACATTACCTGAGCAGATAAAGTCTCAGTCGACTCTTTGACCAGTGCTCTTTGCTTTTCTTTGGCTTCCAGTGTCTTCTTCTCTATAGCCAGAGTGAGTGACTATATGAGGAGAGATCAGACAGTTGTTAGCAGAGAGTGAAAACAGCTTGATCATCCATATTCCAGAATTTTTTATTTTTTTTTTTACCTTGATCTTCTGCTCGTCCTGCTGAGCATACTTGATGATGGCCATTGTGTCCTCATCTTTACGCGCCGACTCCTCTAAAAAGGCATCCATGGTCTGCTTGTCCCAGTTCATCTGCTCCATAAACTCATCCAGCTTCTGTTTGCCCTTGAAGATGTGGTTCTGGCAAGATGGGCAAAAGTTCAGAAGGTCGTTTTGGTACCAACAGCTAAACTAAGCCAAATCCTGTATATGATGTGTATATGCAGATGTTTATATACACAGACCTCTATCATGTCTTTCCTCTCTGCTAAAGACTTGAGCTCTTTCTCCATCTCAGCAGCCTCCTGAGCCTGGCGACCGTTCTCTCTATCTGAGAGAGCTGTCAAGTGTTTCTCAAACTCTTCCTCTCTTTCCTTTGCCTTGCATAGAGCCTGTGAGCAGAAAAAACATCAGAATAACAAAGTAACACGCCATGACACAGTAACTACAAGCCAGTTACAAAAGTCTCACACACGACACACACTGGTACGACAAACGGTAAATTCACAATATGCTCTAATAATCTCACCTCAGTGTTATCCAGCTCTTGTTTGGCATTCTTTAAGTATTCAGTCATTATCTTCTTGTGATCTTTATTTCTCTCAAGCATGTGCTCCAGCTCCAGCAGCTCCATCTCTTTTCTGCGAATCTGTTGTTGAACAAGTTACCAGATAATGTAACACAAGAATGTTTGAATGTTTGAACAGGGCTAAGCAACACTTAGCCACCTACCAATTTTTTTAAAAACTTTAGGACTTGTGAACTCAGGCACTGCTACAAAGTGGTCTACATCAGGGATGTTAAGCAAATGAGGCCAGAAACAGCCTATTGGAAGGCTCTGGTTACAGCTGTCAGGGGGTTCAAGTCTATTCCAGCTGCAATAGTGTAAGAGGCTGCGCAGACCTTGGACTGATCAACAGGGCTTGTTTGAATTATAATCACTAAAAATACAGGTACAGAAACTCCACATCCGTCCTGTTCTTTGTAAAGTGAAGGCTAGATGTACTGACAAAAGACTGAAAAATAACAGATATACACTCAACAAAAATATAAACGCAAAACCTTTGTTACTGCTCCCATTCCCCATGGGATGGACGTAGAGACCTAAAATTCATTCCAGATACACAATATAACCATCCCTCCCAAACAGTGGTC